TGATTGGAATGAGAGACCCCACTAAATTTGTTTATCCAAATTCTTTGACAAAGATCAGTCATTCACAAAGACGGTAGATACTTGATTATTATAACAAAATTAATTTTATACATTTTGAAATTTTTCTTTGACAAAAAGATCTTTAAATTTTTTTTTCAATTTTATATCTAATTTAATTTTTATTTATCATATATCTAAAATATAATTTATTTTTTAAAATATACACTTATTCAAATCTTAAATATAATTTATATATTCAAATATAATATTTATTTTTATACATAATTTATTTAAAAAAATTATATATAATAAAAACTTGTTTTATAACCTATATAAAATCCTCACTAGCCTAAAAGAAGAAGACGACCTTAGAGATCAAGATTTGCACTGTGGAAGTGCTTGACTTGGAGAATCATCTTCTCATGAAGTGTGTGTGTTTTTGTTAGATTTATAGGTTGTGCTTTGTGTCACCAACAATGAAGATTGAAGTCATTGGTTGATGGATAAGGTGAATGAGGGCACTCATAGTGATGGCAGCATGCCAGGGAGCACGACACATGGGAGTCGACATTTCGGGATACCTTCGACAACCAAACTGCAACCACCGACCTCAACGGTGCAAATTTCCCAACCGCCATTTTCCACGGGGATCCTACCTATGGTAGAGACCATGGCTTGATGAAGACACTTATACCGTATGGTGGCTGACTAGGCCGAATACCCGAGTTCATGGCCGACTAGGTCGAATACCCGAGTTCATGGCCGACTAGGCTGAATACCCGAGTTCGTGGCCGACTAGGCCGAATACCCGAGTTCGTGGACGACCAGGTCGAATACCCGAGCCCACCGACCACTCACAATCTGAACGGAACGTGTGGGTGTGCTCGGCCAAGTCACAGATTTACGCCAGGATAATTATGGAGAGGTTAATTTATGTAATGCACCGGATTAGCCCCCTAATTTCCCGGGGCCCAGTCCTTAATCGCGGCCCAATAAGAATCACTATAAATAGGACCCTAGCGAGGTACGTAACTAACTTTCAACTACCACATTTATTACGCCGAGCACTTACTTGAGCGTTGGAGTGTCTTTGCAGGCACATACCCGAGTTCATGGCCGACTAGGCTGAATACCCGAGTTCGTGGCCGACTAGGCCGAATACCCGAGTTCGTGGACGACCAGGTCGAATACCCGAGCCCACCGACCACTCACAATCTGAACGGAACGTGTCGGTGTGCTCGGCCAAGTCACAGATTTACGCCAGGATAATTATGGAGAGGTTAATTTATGTAATGCACCGGATTAGCCCCCTAATTTCCCGGGGCCCAGTCCTTAATCGCGGCCCAATAAGAATCACTATAAATAGGACC